TATATATATATATATATATATATATATATATATATATATATATATATATATATATATATATATATATATATATATATATATATATATATATAGTTGAAAGCAGAAGTTTAGAAACACTGTATAAAAAGAAAAGAAAAGTCAGCTGTTAATGTGACTGAACTTGTTCTCTTTTAGGTAAGTCAGGATGATAACATGTGTTTCTGTTCTGCTTAATAGCAGAATAATGAGAGAGAAATTGTTTGAGAAACTGTTATAACTCTTCTTAAAGGTCAAGTTTACACACAATAAGATTAATCTGCCTCTGGAAAAGCTCAGATGATGATGTCAAGGTTTTGGAAGTTTCTGATTGGCTAATTGACAACAATTGAGTTAATGTGAGGCACAACTGTAGAATAGTATTGAAGGAAAAGCTCAAACACACTGCTTCCTTGTGTGACAACATGGAGAATCAACAAGCCAGAATCAACAACAAAGCCAGATTACAGTTAGCTTAATTACACTGGGAAAAGAGTAATGTTTGGAGACATGTCCTGTGCTCTGATGAAGCTAAGATTGAACTGTTTAGCCATAATGAGCAGTGTTACATTTGGAGGACAAAGGGGAAAGCACACAAGCCTAGGAACACCATCCCAACTGTGAAGTATGGGGGCGGCAGCATCATGTTGTGGGGCTGTTTTGCTTCAGGAGGGACTAGTCCACTTCACAGCATAGATGGCGTCATGAAGAAAGAACATTATGGAGAAATACTGAAGCAACATCTCAACACATCAGCCAGGACATTAAAACTTGGTCACAAATGGGTCTTCCAAACAGACCATGACCCTGAGCATACTGCCAAATGAGTTCAAATGTGCTTTAAGGACAGCAGAGTGAATGTTTTGCAGTGGCCATCACAAAGCCCTGATCTCAATCCTATAGAAAATGTGTGGGCAGAGTTGAAAAGGCTTGTGCGAGCAAGACAGCCTACAAATCTGACTCAGTTACAGCAATTCTGCAGGAGGAATGGGCCAAAATTCCTGCAAACTATTGTGAGAAGCTTGTGGAAGGAGACCCAAAACATTTGACCAAAGTTATTCAGTTTAAAAGCAAAGCTAAAGAATACCAAGGAAATGTGTGTAAACTTCTGACTGTCTAGAAATTATTTTAAAAATTCTCAAAAAAAAAAAAAAACCTCCCTCATTATTCTGGCATTTAGCAAATGTAAATCACTTAGGGAATCCTAACGGAACTAAAATAAACGTTTAGTGTGATTCACCATCAGACATTTTTTAAAAATGGTTATGTTCCATATATATATAGACATACACACACACACACTCAATGGCTCTTTAAAAAAATACATTATCCAAAAAAATCAGAAATGGCTCTTTGCTGACAAAAGGTTCCCAACCCCTGCCTTAGGTCGTCGGATCATAAACAGCAGTCGCCAATAGCTGCCATCAATATAAATCAAACAGAGTTTAATTATTCAGATATAATAATCCTCCTTGTGATTATGAGGCCAGGAATCCTGGCGTTCTCCGTGGGCGAGACGGTTTTGTTGTCTAATGACATGACAAGGTCTTCACGGTGTTGTTTCTCGGCCAGAATGATCAGCATCTCAGATTTTAATTAACTGGGTTGTGCAGGCAGAAACGCTTGCCAGAAATGAGTTGATACCTGATGATATTTGGTTGTCGGTGGATGAAAAGAGAATAAATCAAGAGTCATCTGCATAAAAAATGATGAGGTAAAGATCTGGAGGTTATTTTGCGAAAATGGAGAATAAAAACAGGCCAAGTGCTGAACCCTGTGGAACGCCGTTGTGTATTTAATGTGCATTCACGTCAAGTGTTCTGTCCTTGAGGTTGAGTAGAGGAAAGTGGCGATCGCTCTTCAGTGAAATTCACTCTCTAATGCTGTGCGAGCGCATTAAAATGATGAAGGATGCTTTTAGTTTTTCGCATCAGCCAGAACAGCTGGGTAGGAATATGCAAAAAATAATAAGACTGCGTACAAATAGAAGAAGACAACCAATGCGGGGATGCATCTTAAAATGTAACCGTGTTGGATTTGAGCGGGATTTACCAGTTGTTCTATTTTAAGATATCCAGCGCTGGAAGAGCTATGGTTCATTGATTTGCATTTGTTGTTATGAGCTGGTCAAAAAAGGCTTTTCTTCGAGTTTTTGAATTCGTTCTTGTCCAAATGGCTAAAATAAATTATTGACTTGTTTTTAGAAATAAAATGTCGAAATTAAGTGAGTTTTTCCTTAAAACAAATAAAATAAAGCGCTGAACTACTGAAA